TTATTTGCCTACAGTGTATCTTATTCTGTATATTCCAATTCACCATGTTTATAGATCCAATATCCTGAACATATATATTCACAATGAAACCAACTTCCAGAAGAAAAGTATAATTTTCCAGTATAACATCAGTGAAACAGATGTTAAGAAACGGGATGAGAACGTCATTATTTTGGTTCATTTATTGTGTAACATTTGCGTAATTATTAGGTTGAAAGCGGGTTACAGTAATTACATATTTCCTCTTCGATGTAAATTCAACGTGAATGAAGAACATGATTCATCCCAAGTCAGCCTCTTAACATTCACATGAATTTCACGCAGATTTTTTGACTAAAACTATCACTAACGCTTCACATGTTTCTGTGACGCGATTCTAAAACTTCTAAAGGATGTGATAATTTTGTTTATGAAGATGTAATTTCATAACCAAACAAAAACGGGAGTATTAGGTTCACAAACTATGGTCTCCCAAGTTAGGGATATAATCACGTTATAATGGTGATATTCCAGTGACGATTGCGTGATTTAGTGTACATGTTTTTTAAGTGACCTAGTGCAAAAAACGTGTTAACACAATCACGTAAATGTCAAGTGTTTGAAGGATGTAAATTTGTTCTAGTCGATACCGTGATTTTCATGTCAATTTGTTTATTGGGATGTATAATTTGACAATAAAATTGCAGTTTAAAGGGATCGTTTAACAATGTTAAATCTGAGATACACGGCCCTACGTATTATCAGTGTCTGTGATATGGTGTAATATTGAAGCCCTAAAAAAATTGCGCTTCAAAATGATCAAGAAGTGCCTCAAAAAAGTAAAAATCTTTGAGTGACCGGTTTTACCATACTCGTTTTCCCCAATAGACTGTAGTGTTATGAAAACTGTCAGGCGAACGTTTTTCAAAATTTGTAATTCCAATCATAAATATCTTGATAATCAGACAGGCGATCGGCTTGTAAAAGTCATGGGGTTCCTGACTGACCTAAAGGTTTACAATTATCATTGCATCATGAGCTAAATCCAGAATTTTATTTCAGAATCTCAGACAAAGTTACAGAATCCCTTAAAGCTAATATCAAAGTGTCAACTTTAGGGCCATATAACTTTGTTGTTAAACAAAGCAATGAAATTGGAATTTTGATATAATATTAACCGTACTTATGGGCAGTTTTTTCAAAAGGTTCCAAGTCAGTAATCATCATAATTTTATAAATGTGGAAAAATACGTATTTTGGGGCAATTCATATTTTCTGAAGAACTTGTAAAAATTCAGATTTTTGGCTCAAAATTGTTATGCAAATTATCCTCAAACCTGTCAAATGATATATCAGCTTGTAGGAAATGTAACTCCGTTTCATATGACACCTCGCATATATGATGTAATGAGGTTCCCTTAAAAAGTAATCTCCAAAATTGTTCCACATATTACATGTAGTTGTACATGGCGGTCATTTTGAAGTGAGTGAGAACGGGTCTTTAATTAGTTTGGCTCAAATGCATTGTAAAACAATAGCGCAAAAATCTAGTTAAAGATGTTTAAAAAGTAAATGAAAATATGGATATATTCATGTGCAACCATATTTATTTAAATCAATGCGAATTAAGCTAAGTTGAGGTCTTACTAGTTTGAAGAGATTAGATTATTGCAGATCAAGTGGTTTTTAGGTTTTTCCATTAAGTATTACCGGTAGGTTGTTTACTGATGTTTTAGGTTACAAGTAAAATGAAATAAGCTTTAGGTTCTTAAAGAAAATACAATGTGTACATGTAAAGAAATGTATAAAGTGCTATTTTTAATAAAGCAGTTGATTATTCAGCTTACATACTTTAGTGTAATTATGGAGCTAAATAGTTATTATGCAAAGAAATTACACAAGACAACTGTAACTTTAATAGTGAGGTCATACATGTATTTATTTAATGTGACACGAGAAGCATTAGTTGTTCTTTAACAATATGTTATTTTCTCTCTGTTTTGATTACAGTTTGAACGATTTGGAACTGACATTGTACAATAGTGATTAAGAAGATCAATGGAGTACTTGTATAAGCTTTGTGGAATGCTAGTTGTCTTTATGACCCTGATTGAACCAGCTGATACGCCAGCAATAGATCCAAATGACAACAACATTTTGGCTACACCCTATAGCAATGATGCTTTCACCATACTCTCCTGTATATGTGTTGTTTTCCTAATCGTCAAATGCATGCAATCATAGGAAAGTGAAAAGTATGCCGCAGACCTGCCGCAGACCTGCCGCAGACCTGCCGCAGACTTTCAGTACGCCACAGGAACAGTCTGCGGTAGGTCTGCCACAGGAAATCCCATTAAAGTCTAATAGGGCCAATTGAAACCAATCATCTCATGCATATTCATAATTACTTTACACGTGTGACAGAAAAATACATTTATCATGATTTGTTAAGCAAATTAAGACGATGCACATCATTTTTGTGATTTCTATTTTCCTTTTGTCATTATTAACCAATAGATTATTTTGTCTGATCATGTTACAATTACATTCACGTTTAAGCAATAGATATATTGATTACTAACCAAGAAACTATGATTACTAACCAAGAAACAGTATACATATTTAGTATATATATGTGTACGAGCCTGTGTCACTTTAAATGTTACTCTTGAATACACTTCAAATGATCAATGTGATGAAGTTAATTCAATTGAGAATAGAATATACCTAATTGGTAATATCGATATCTATTGGTATTACCTAATTGGTAATATCGATATTGCCAATATCGATTATGAAGTATCAATCAGTTTATCAATCAGTGTTAGTACTTTTCTCAGTCTATCATCTACAAATGTATGCATTTTTTAAAGGTCTTCCTTTTGCTAACTTAATTTTTGGGGTAAACAGATCACAGAACGTTCATATTTTTGTCACAGTCTATCATCTATATATTTTTAAAAGGTCTTTCTTTTGCAAACATCTTGAAACAAGGCTGATTATGGAGTTACAAGAACGACATTTAGGATTCTATATGGAAATAAGTAGTTTGTAACAAATTTTATCTGACCATTTGCTTTTGTGGATAAGATCAATCCAAGTACCTTTTTTAAAGACAACATAATAGACTGAACAATTTTGTTGATCAGAGGATGAATTTGCTATGTGTGTTAATCTTCAACAGATCATATAAATGTATAATCTTATATGATGTTGTTCAGATGTTATTCAGCAGTCATCCAAAGAATGATCAACTGTGCTAAGAGTGAATTTGGTTTACATGTTTTTGTATTTCAACAATTTCCCCACCTTGTACTTCGACAGTATTTGATTTTTGTTTTGTTTTGGGTGTATCAACATAACTATCAACTTTGTTTATATTTAAGCACTCATATTCATTTGTAATCTAATATGATTTTGTTCAGATGTTATTCAGCAGTCATCCAAAGAATGATCAACTGTGCTAAGAGTGAATTTGGTTTACAAGTGTTTGTATTTCAACAATATCCCCACCTTGTACTTTTACAGTATTTGATTTTTGCTTGTTTTGGGATTATCAACATAACAATCAACTTTGTTTATATTTAAGCACTCATATTCACTTGTAATCTAATATGATTTTGTTCAGATGTTATTCAGCAATCATCCAAAGAATGATCAACTGTGCTAAGAGTGAATTGGGTTTACAAGTGTTTGTAATTTAATAGTATCTATTTGTGACTGTTCAGCAATCAATAACATTAACAAATTTCTGTTACATATTTTATCATTTTAAGATGAGCATATGGACAGGCATGTACATGTACATGTAAGTCTAAAAGATGGAGGACATTTATAACACCTTGTTCTTATGTGAAAGATGAAAGACCTCTTTTTATAGGAATACAGATCATAGAATATACAGTGTAAGTGTTTTTTTCTCATAGTCTATCATCTATGCATTTTTGAAAGGTCTTCCTTATGCAAACATCAAATGATATACAATGTTGTCCAGACGCTGTTCAACAGTCAACCAAAGAATTATCAATTGTGCTAATTAAGTCTGACTTGGGTATTTCATCAATTGTACCTCTTTGTAATTTACATATCTTATATTATATCATATTTTTCAGATGAACCAAAGATTGATCTATTGTATTGAGCCTAAATTTGTTGTGTGCATGTGTATGTTCAATAAATAAACTAAAGTAAAATAATAACAAATAAAATAAAGTATATATAAACGCCACTAATAGATTGTATCTACATGTATTTCTAATTTTACACTGCAAAACTGTATGATTTGGCCCAGTGATCAATATCATACAGTGATCAGCTGTGTCAAGATTGACTTTTCTGTATTAAAGTGCCTCTTCATTTCCCAACAATAGTATCAATTCAGCAATCAATAAAATACACATTTTTCTGTTACATTTAATAATTTTATGATGAGCACATGGACAGGTACAGGCATGTAAAGGTACGTTCAAGCGATGTTTTGAAGCTAGAATCACAAAAATCAATCACAAATCAAAACGCTGTTAAAAACACTGTTACTGCGGGAGAGCGTTCAAGCGATTTTTATCAATGCTGATTCTCGCTCATTTCAAGCCCAGGCACTGCTCATCACACTGTAGTTTGACCCAGGAAGTATAGGTCAACTTTGCCGCACGCTTTCTGAATTTGTTTATGGTCAACTGTCAGTCAAACCATGCAGAAGCAGGCCACAATAATGACATTATAGAGTCATGATTGAGATCTCTGTTTGTTCAAGCAATTTTTAGCGAGCGTGATTCTGCAGAATCACACTACAAAACGCATCTTTTTCAGCGTTTCATGTTTGCGTTTTTAAACACATTTATTTTTACGACCTACAAAAAATTGCTTGAACACAACCGTGTTTTTAACTAAACGTCTTTGAAAACCATGTTTCTAGGGTGAAAAAGTGTCGCTTGAACATGCCTATAGTCTAAAAGATGTACCCAACAGCATTGTACGTTGTGATACATTAATAAATCAGAAAATGTCATAAAACTAAATACGAATTAAATGTGATGTCTTTGGAAAGCGAGTCGGAAAAATCAGAATCTCTGTACACACTTTCATTGAGCTGAGAGAGCTTGGTGAATGTAAAATTATCATTGGTTGAGTTCATGAAACTGTCATATAAGTCCACCACTTTCTCCACAATTTTCTGAAGAAAAAAGAAGAAAAAAAGAAACTGACAAATTTATATTCAACTCTCAATATGCACTGTACAGCACAAGGCAGGGTGTGGGTAATTGATCTAAACTGCTTTTTGTAAAAGTACTATTAAACTAGAAAGAGAACTAACGACACAATCTCATGTCTAAAGATAAAATTGGCACAACCTACAAAAGCTAAAACAAGCACAACCTACAAGAGCTAAAATAAGCACGTTCACCCCCCCCCCCCCCCCCCCCCCTATTTGAGAGCCAGGTGCTATATCTTAAGTACACAAGACCAAAAATGTGCTCCCCCTCTCTTTTGTTGTTGTTGCTTATCAGATGACCTTTTTTAAAGCTTAATTGTCAGTGTATTTAAAATATACTGTGCCCCTCTTTAACAAAATCTTGGATCCATTTCTCTTTATGGGTCACAATGAATAGCTACATGTATACCACTCACTCTAGCAGCTCGTTCTTTCCTGACGAAGTAGTCCCCTATGAGGGCCTTCGATCCCTCGTTTCACCGTCTCGTTGCCATTTTTCTGTGGTAGGGTGTAGTTGGCAGTATCAAAAAAATGCTGTGTGTGATGGGACTGCTGACCTTCACTTGGAGCTGAAGAGATAAAAAGAGAAAGAAAGAAGAAAAGATGAGGATTGTAATATGGGTCGATGTCTTTGGTAACTGGGTGGAGAGAGAGAGATATAGATATGGATGGGACAGAGAGAGAGAGAGAGAGAAGAGTAGAGAAAGAGAAAAGATAGAAAGAGAAAGAATATGGATGAAGGGTGAACTTCTGAAACTAGATAATAAGAAAGTGGAGAATCACCTCTATAGACAAAGGCCATAGAATAGGAAGGAGAGAGAGAGAGAGAGTACAAAAGAACGAAAGTAAAGTATTCCTTTACAGAGACAAAGACGAGTACAAAAAAGTATTGTAAAGGACTGGAAGAAGAATACAGTTGAGACAGACAGAGAATAATAGAATATGGGGAAATAAAGGGAATAGGAAAAGTTTATAGTTAATTCTAAGTGTTTGTCTTGGTGTACCAATTATATTTTCAGCTAAGTTTCTTATTAAAAAGGGAGCATATTATCACGGAAATGCAAGATAAAACACAACACTTATTATAAGATGGGTAGAAGAATCCCTGCAATCTGATTGGTCAATTACCATGTAATTATTTTTACTGGATGCACGCGATATCGGCGATCGATACCACCGATATCAGCGATCGATACCACCGATATCAGCGATCGATACCACCGATATCCTTTTTTTTTTCTTTTTAGGTGGTCTGTCGTTTTCGACAGATCACCTATTGTTTTCGTCAGAATTTTCTTTATTTATTTATTTATTATTCTTTATTTTTATTTCTTCCCGTTTTTTGTTTATCGGTTAACTCAAGATCGGTTGTGTTAATTTCTTTCAATTTTGACACAGTCATAGGTCATTGTCATGAGACGTGACAGGAACATTTTCAAGGTCATCAGGTCATCGTGACGTCATCCAGGCGCCATTTTGTGAAATCACGTTATCCATCATATCTTCGTGATGCATAAGCAAAGGTCATTCATATTCATATCACATATACTTCAGGTCAAGGGGCAACAGGTCATGTCATCGAAGGTCACATAAAGGTCACGACGCGGGCGTACGCGTGCGTCAAAATTTAAAAATGCTCAAAATCACTTAACTATTAAAGGAGAGTACGAATCAGGTCATTTTAAGCATTTCAAAATTTTCCGTCCGTACGTGTCAACGCGCGGAAAAGGTCAAATTCATTTTTTTTTACATGATTTAGATTCATCTTACCATAAATTTACATTAATTTCAGTCACTCTTGACGTTTCATAAGGCCGTGAGCGCGCGTCAAAGTTCAAAATCCGCGCGTACTGCTATGGGCAATATAATGCAAATTTGATCAAAAACATCCCATTTTAAAAATCAAAATAGCTCTTCAGATGGTCAATTGACCCCAACTTTTATATCATGGTTGGAAAAAGCATGAGTTGGAGATATGATTTCATGTCTCATTTGACCCTCAATTAACTCATGACGTCATCATAATGGCCTCCGAACTCAAAATTTCAATTTGCATATTATGACGTCAGCATATTTTTGTAAAATTGATTGTATCTCTGTAAATATTGATCAATTTTCTTTCAGATTTTGATATGTTCTACCTGAGAATATTCTCTACAAATGCAGTATCACTATCACGATATTTCATTTTGACAATGGCATCATGGCGTATTTTTGCAATTAAAGGAGGCATGTCAATTTTTCACATTTTGCGTGTATTCTCTATGGGACATGACTTTTTCTCAAAACTGGATTCTACATTCTCATCTTTCGCGAGCAATATCTCCGTCGTTTTATCTTTGTTTACGCTGAGCTTTGAGTATGTTGTAGCTGAGACAATAAGCTATCGTAAGTGTGCCCTTTATTTTTCGATCAGATGCCAAGATCATGCTCATATTTCACTTACAATGTGGGATTTGAGAATTCCATTTTCCGTTTACGTGTAATCGCTATGGGAAATGTTTTGGTATATCGGTAACGCACTTGACTTCCGACCTCGAGGTCCCTGGTTCGAGTCCGGGAGTCTCCAACAATTTTTTTCCATTTTTTGTTGTTGTTGACTCTTTAATGATCATAAAATTGAAAACAGACCACCTAATTCATCCCCATGACGAATTAAATTTCTAGTTTCAATAATTTTTTTTAAATATAATTTTTTTTTTAATGATTTTTTTTATATTTTTTTGGTGATAATTATTTGTTTTTTCATGTTTTTTGATAATTATAATCTGTTTAAAAAAAATTTAAAATTCTATTTTTTTTTTTTTTTTTTAAGTTCACAGTTTAATGTGCACTGACAATTTTTTTTAATTTTTTTTTTAAATTTCATGATAAGTTAATAATCATGCGTCCGGTAAAAAAAAAAAAAACGGACACATGATTTTGCCATGCATCCGGTAAATCTGTAAAATAACAAAATGTTGTATTTTTGACAATTTTGGGGGCCCCATCTTATAAAACAGATGATGCACAGGTTTAATTCGTTGGTCGGTGGAATTGTGTGCATGCGATACCTTTGAATTTGGTCTAAAACTATTCAAAGGTACCTTGTGCACACAATCCCTACCGACGCACTCAAACCTGTGCATCATTTGTACACATGTACATGGACAACATAATTCTGAACGAGTGTTGCCCAGTTCTCCACATGAGCAGCTAGCGTCCCATCCTCCGCATCTTTACTGTACAGTAGCTATGTAGAACTCCCCATACGTCTCCCTGTTGCACGGTCTTCCAAACATCACCATCGACACCACCACTGGCCAAATTTAAGAGTGTCCTACTAATGAATTGAGATTTGAGTACCAAATGGTTCAGAATATGATGTACATGCTGGAGTTTGTGCAGCCTTGTATCTTTTAAACATGATTTTTTTACATGATTTAGATTCATCTTACCATAAATTTACATTAATTTCAGTCACTCTTGACGTTTCATAAGGCCGTGAGCGCGCGTCAAAGTTCAAAATCCGCGCGTACTGCTATGGGCAATATAATGCAAATTTGATCAAAAACATCCCATTTTAAAAATCAAAATAGCTCTTCAGATGGTCAATTGACCCCAACTTTTATATCATGGTTGGAAAAAGCATGAGTTGGAGATATGATTTCATGTCTCATTTGACCCTCAATTAACTCATGACGTCATCATAATGGCCTCCGAACTCAAAATTTCAATTTGCATATTATGACGTCAGCATATTTTTGTAAAATTGATTGTATCTCTGTAAATATTGATCAATTTTCTTTCAGATTTTGATATGTTCTACCTGAGAATATTCTCTACAAATGCAGTATCACTATCACGATATTTCATTTTGACAATGGCATCATGGCGTATTTTTGCAATTAAAGGAGGCATGTCAATTTTTCACATTTTGCGTGTATTCTCTATGGGACATGACTTTTTCTCAAAACTGGATTCTACATTCTCATCTTTCGCGAGCAATATCTCCGTCGTTTTATCTTTGTTTACGCTGAGCTTTGAGTATGTTGTAGCTGAGACAATAAGCTATCGTAAGTGTGCCCTTTATTTTTCGATCAGATGCCAAGATCATGCTCATATTTCACTTACAATGTGGGATTTGAGAATTCCATTTTCCGTTTACGTGTAATCGCTATGGGAAATGTTTTGGTATATCGGTAACGCACTTGACTTCCGACCTCGAGGTCCCTGGTTCGAGTCCGGGAGTCTCCAACAATTTTTTTCCATTTTTTGTTGTTGTTGACTCTTTAATGATCATAAAATTGAAAACAGACCACCTAATTCATCCCCATGACGAATTAAATTTCTAGTTTCAATAATTTTTTTTAAATATAATTTTTTTTTAATGATTTTTTTTATATTTTTTTGGTGATAATTATTTGTTTTTTCATGTTTTTTGATAATTATAATCTGTTTAAAAAAAATTTAAAATTCTATTTTTTTTTTTTTTTTTTAAGTTCACAGTTTAATGTGCACTGACAATTTTTTTTAATTTTTTTTTTAAATTTCATGATAAGTTAATAATCATGCGTCCGGTAAAAAAAAAAAAAACGGACACATGATTTTGCCATGCATCCGGTAAATCTGTAAAATAACAAAATGTTGTATTTTTGACAATTTTGGGGGCCCCATCTTATAAAACAGATGATGCACAGGTTTAATTCGTTGGTCGGTGGAATTGTGTGCATGCGATACCTTTGAATTTGGTCTAAAACTATTCAAAGGTACCTTGTGCACACAATCCCTACCGACGCACTCAAACCTGTGCATCATTTGTACACATGTACATGGACAACATAATTCTGAA